CCCAGGACTCACTGAGTAGAAAAAGACTAGCTCATGTAAGTTGTTCTCTGACTTCCACGTGCACTCACACACACAAAATAAACGTTTAAAATAAAAAAGCCCTTGGAGTGGAGAGATGGCTCAGCAGTTAAGAGCACTGACTGCTCTTGCAGAAGACCCACGTTCAAATCTCAGCATCCACATGGTGGCTAACAACAGTCCATAACTACAGTTTCAGGGGATCCAACGCCCTCTTCTGTCCTCTGCAGGCACTGCCTGACACAGGTGCACTTACATACACGCAGGCATAACACTCATACACATAAAATAAAAATTAAAAAAAAAATTAAAACCCTTAATCTGGGGGTTTGGGAGTTGTGGGAGCTATGGAGAGGTAGAGATAGGGGAGAGGGTCTAAATATGACCAAGTTGTACCATATGAAATGCAAAACTCCAATTAAAAAAAAAAATCACTGGCTCAGAAGTTAAGAGCACTGGCTGCTCTTGCAGAGGGCCTGGGATTGGATACCCAGCACCCACATGGTGGCTAACAACCGTCCATAACTCCAGTTCCAGAGGATCCGATGTCCTCTTGTGACCTCAGAGGGCATTGCACAATATGGTGCACCTACATACATGCAGACAATATACTCAAACACACAAAATAAAAATTAAAATTAAAAATAAAAGAATCCCTAAATCCTCCCGTATGGATGACAAAGAGGGTCTGTTTCCATCTCTGCTGGAGTGCGAAAGTTACCGCGCAGGGGCACACCCACCCACTCCCCACACCTTGGTCCCCACCCCCACTTCTGCAAAGGAAGCGCAGAGGTCCCCCTGGAGCACCTCCTACGTAGGGCTCGTAGCTGGCGGTTCTGAGCTCCCAGATCCCCTCGGACCCCTCCCTTCTCCACGCGCGCGCCTTCTTTTCTAGAGCTCGGCCTCAAAGCCTCCTCAGTCGTCGTCCTGGAAGGTGACCAGAAGCCGCGGAGACTGGCTAGTTAACGTCGCCTAGCATCCGCAGCCGCCACTAGACCCCGCCCAGCATCCGCAGAGCCAGGCCTCGCCCAGGACCGCTGCAGAGCGCGGTGAGTGCGGGAGGCAGGGAGCCAGGCGTCCCGGGTCCCCGCCCTGCCCCTCCCCGGGGGACCGGCAGCAAGACCGTCAGCTCCCTTTCCCTTTTTGGTCCTCTCCAGTCCGTGTCAGGGACTCAAAAAAAAAAAAAAAAAAAAAAAAAAAAAAAA